TGGAAGCCTGGGGCAGTATGGAAGCCTCTCCCAGCCTGGGGAGAGGCCCCTTTCCAGGCAGGCTCAACACTGGGAGAGCTCAAACCCTGCTTGTTTTCCTGGGACCCAATACCCAGGACAAAGTTCTTCCACATCTGCAGACTCCTGCGGATTTTCTCTCGCCCCGGGCCTGTCCTCACTGACTCTCACCCCAAATGCCAACATCCTGCTGGGCACAGCAGTTTGGGCATAAGAAAACAAAAATCTTTTGCACAAGTCCTTTACTCTAAGCCAAAATGCTTCCAGAAATGAGCTGCTGAATCTCTCTGAACTGACCCGAGCTTTGAAACTCCCATCTCCAACTTTCTGCCGAACCAATGCCCTGGACTGTTTGAGTCAGAAGCCGAATTCCCCTTCCCACAATGATTCCATGAGGATCTGAAGTGTGAAAGTCCCAAAGCAAAGCTTGCTGTGAAGCAGAGCTGGAGGTGTAGGACAGCTCTCCTCAAGCTCTGAGCACGCCTACCCCACAGCACAGGCCACCCCGCGCTCTCCAGCTGACACAGCTCCTTTCTGCCCTCCAGGGTCCCGGAATTTTCTGCCTACGAGCATTCCTTGTGCTTCCCAGACAGGAATGCCTTCAAAATTGGCTTTTGTGGCAGAGTTGTGTATCGGCATATTAAAACAGAATAAAGAAAACCCCTGAGCTGATCCCCTCTGTGCACCCATCCTGTTGTTGTCCTGCTTGGCTCAGATAAACCAAGTCAAGCATCCAAAGATGGGAATTCGGTGCTGGAGGAGGATGGCGTGCCCTGCCTTGCCCTGCCGTGCTCTCTGGGTCACCTCCAGCAGCAGGACAATGTGCCTGGGCACTGCCCAAGCCACTCTCTGCAGTGTTCCAGCTCCCTGCCCAGACCAGCCCCAGCCCAGAGGGAACAGCCTCCATGGACACAACTGGGAAGGATGAAGCAAGTTGGAGCAAGTCCAGAGAAGGCCACAAAGTTGGTAGGGGGACTGGAGCAACTTCCCTATGGAGACAGGCTAAGAAAGCTGGGGCTGCTCAGCCTGGAGAAGAGAAGGTTCCAGGGAGAACTCAGTAGCCTTCCAGGATCTGAAGGGGCCTACAACAGAGCTGGAGAAGGACTGCAGCAGGAAGTGTAGTGACAGGACAAGGAGTGATGAGTTCACACTGAAAAAGGGGACATTTAGGTTGGCTATACCGAAGAAATTCTTCCCTGTGAGGGTGGGGACGCCATGGCACAGGTTACACAGAGAAGCTGTGGCTGCCCAATCCCTGGAAGTGTCCAACGCCAGGTTGGAGCAACCTGGTCTAGTGGAAGGTGCCCCTGCCCATGGCAGGGGGTGGAATGAGATGGTTTTTAAGGTTCCTTCCAACCCAGGCCATTCCATGACTGCATGAGTGCAGGGCAGTGAGGCAGTGCTGTGCCTGGGCTGTTGGACTCCAGCAGACCTTGCAGTCAGGATTTACTCCTGGTCCTTCCCAGGGCGCTGGCAAAAACACTGCACCCTCCTTCCCTGAGGCTCAGGGCTGCAAGTCGCTGACCTCGACTAACAGAAGCAGCAGTGTCTCCTGTTTACCCTCACATTTCACCTCCCTTTGCTCACTCAGCCCATGAAGGAAATGTGTGGAGCTTTCCAAGAGGGATCCTTCCAGCCAGGGATCCCATCTCTCTTGGGAGCCCAGGGCTGACTGAAGGACAGAGCCCGCAGCAGACACCAGCACTTCCCACCACGCCTTCCCAGTCTGCAAATCCCTGTGAGAAGACAAACCATTCCCCAGCCAAGCTTCCCAAACCACATCCCAGCCCTTCCCAACCCCAGCCAGGCAAAGGAACACACGGGACCCACACCTAAACCACATCCCTTTGATCTCAAGGACAACAGGAGCCTCAGAGGACTGTCTGACACAGCCCCAAGGGCCAGGTGATGGATGGGGTGTGCTTCCTCCCTGCAGTTCCCTTACCACAGTGCTCTTCCAGCCCAGATCCTGGTCACACCACACATGGCACTCTCTGGGACAGATCCCATTGGTCACCACTGGAGCGAGAGCCCCATCTGTGACCTTCCCAACACACCACCAGTGACCTGAACTGCTCCCTCATTACCTTCTCTTGCTCTCCTGATCGTTGGCAAAGGTCTGCTCCTCCTCCTCCTCTTCTTCCACAGCCCTTTTCCTGCTCTCTCTGATGGCATTCAGCACAGTCTCCTTGGCACACGGGTCAGGGCTGCTGGTGGCTGAGAAGGCCAGGGGTGAGACCAGCTGCTCCAGGCTGGGGGGCAGAGCAGAGCACACTGTTAGGCTAGCTGGGATCACTGCTCAGAATTCCCCCACGGAAAGGGGGACACGGCTCTTCTGGAGGTTTAGATCACACCATCCTCCCAGCCATGTGGCAGCACTCAGGATGGGATGGTACTCCCAGGGCTGATAATGCGGCTTCCCCCAGTGTGTCTCGATATCCCCTGTGGCTAATAAGGGGGTTCCCCCCGATGTGTCCAGTATTCCTGTGGTTATAAGGGGGCTTCCCCCGGTGTGTCCCTGCAGTACTCCCTGTGATTCCCTCCAGTGTGTCCCGGTCCCCTCAGTGGCTGATAACCGGGCTCCTCGCGGTGTGTCCCCGTCCTCTCTGTGATTCCTCGGTGTGTCCCGCAATCCCCCTCTGTGATTCCCCGGTGTATCCCGGAATCCCCCTCTGATCCTCCCGGTGTATCCCAGTCCCCCGGAACTCACGCCGGGGCGCGGGTGATACTGGCGGCGGGCGGTGCGATCCTCACGGTGACGGGGCTGCGGAGCGGGCCGGCCCGGCGGGCCCAGGGCGCGGCGCGGGGCGAGCCGCCCTCCCAGCGGGCGGTGGTCAGGCCGAGCGGCGCGGCCGGGCGGGGTTGCGGCAGCGGGTACCGGCGGCGAGGGGGCTGCGGCGGGCAGCGCGGGGCCCTGCGGGACACAGCGCGGTCAGTGCGTGGCGGGCCTCCCCCCGCCCGCTCCCCCCATCCCTCCCGTCCTTACCCGGGCTGTGCTCGGCGCGGCGCGGCCCTCACGGCCGGGCCGCCGTTGGCGGCGGGTTTGGCGGGCGGGCGCGACGCGGGCGGGCCGGGCCGCATGGCGCACCAGGCGCCCGCCGCGCCCAGCGCCGCCGCGCCCAGCAGCGCGCCCCGCAGCAGCACGCAGGCCAGGGCGAGCGCCAGCGCCGCGGCCACGGCCAGCGCGGCCCTCACGGCCCCGTCCCGCCCGCCCGGCCCCGCGCCCGCCATCGCCGCGCGCCCGCCGCTCCCGGCGTGCTCTGCGCGCGCACAGCGCGGGGGCGGGGTTTTTAAATGGTGGGCGGTGCCTCAGGGATGGGCCGGGCTACACGGAGGCGGGGCTTAGCGGGTGGGGGTGGGTTCCGGGTTGAGCGGGGACGGCCCTCTGGCGTAACTGTGGGCGGGGCTTAGAAAGTGGGCGTGGTCTCAGAGGGGTGGGCGGGGCTCTGCGGGTGAGCGGGACCGGGGCTCCCGGGTGGGCGGGGCTTTTTGAGGTGGGCGGAGCTCTCCGGTGCGAGCGGAGCCGACCCTCTGGAGCCGAACCTCCAGAAGAGCCGACCCTCTCGGCGCTCCCCGTGGGAGGGGCTTCGCGGGCGCGGAGCTTCCACGGCATCCGGGGCTGGGGGGGCGGGCGGGAGAGGCTTCCAGATGAGAGGGGGTGGGAGTGGCTTGTAGCGGTGGGCGGGGCTTCCCGGCCGAGCGGAGCCGCCCCCCGCGGGCTCCCGGCATGCGCTGCGCGGCGCGGTTAGAGGGCCTTTAGTGGCGGGCGTGGCCTCGCCCGGCCCCGCCCCAGCCCCTCCCACGTGTCCCCGCCCGGCCCCGAGACCCCCCGAAGCCCCCGGTGCTGTCCCGCTCTGAGGGCAGGGCCGGGGACAGTCACCCACGTGGCGCTGTGGGAGGGTCGCAGTGGCTCGCTGTGCCAGGGGGGACCCCGGGGGACATGGCTGTCCCAGGGGATATCCTGTCCTGCTGCCGGCCAGTCGGGTCCTGAGGAGCAGGGACCACGGCAGGGACCAGGGCTGAGAGGAATCGTGGCCGAGTCATGACAGGCTGAGACAACGACAGGGACAATGGCAAAGACTGTGCAGGAAGGGATAATGGGAGGGACAATGGCAGGAAGGGACCGTGGCAGGGATCATACAGAACACTGCCGTGGGGACACCCCATGGTGTCACCCCAGGTCCAGGTGGCCCTGGCAGGGCTGGGAGACACTGAGTGTGCCCAGCGTGGGCTAAGCACGGTTAGGAAGGGACATTCCCCCGAGATCCCTGTCCGTGGGCCACCCAGCAGCAGGACCCTCTTGCCACGGCCCTGCAGCGCAGGATGGTCTGCACGGCCCCCCCACTGCAGCATCTGCCCCCCAGGAGGAGTCGCAGGGCTGGGCTGAAGGCTTTATTGAAAAATCCCAAACACACGACGGGTCATTGTTATCATACAATGAAAAACCAAACCAACCCGCCCTGCACCGGGGGGGGGCAGCCCCTGCCCCTGTCACCAGCACCGGGGACACCGCGGGGACCCCCGCCCGTGATACAAAAGGGACAGTGGATTCGGCCGAGGGCGGTGCCACTGTCCCCACGCCCCCGCTGCCCCCGCGCCGCTCCCCGGCCCCGAGGCCTGAGGTAGTTGGGGGTGCAGGCGAGACCCTCCCCCAAAAAAGCAGGGAGGGTGCTGGGGCTCCCCGTGTCCGGCAGGAACGGGATGGTTGGTATTGCATCCGAGGGGAGCCAGCGCGGGGTGGGATGGGGAGGCAGCGGGACCCCCGTGGGGAGCCTCCAGGTCCCCCCAGCAGGCTGGGGGTGGCAGCAGGGCTGGCTGGGGACGCGGGGTCAGCGGGTCCCTGATCGGTGGACGGCTGCGCTGGGCGGTGGCAGCTCCGAGGCCGCGGCGGTGGTGGCAGGTCCCACTGCCCCGGAGGCTGGGGGATGTCACTGGGAAAGCACGCGGGGACAGCCCAGCTGCTTCCCAAAGGGAGAAAGGCCAAATCCTGCCCCCAGCAGGGGAGGGACGCTCTGGCCCCAGCAGGAGCACCAGCAGGACCGCAGGGGACGGGGACATCTGGGGGGCCCGGAGGTGGCAACACCCCCCTGCCCTCCGAGCCCCCTGCTCAAGGCACAAAGGTTCCCTGGCTAGTGCCCATCTCTCCCCACGGCCATGCTGGCACCAGTCCCCCCTGCACCCAAGAGGCTGGTGGTGACACCGGGATGGCACCAAAGCGAGCGGGGACAGGGAGCTGCTTGCTCTGGTTTTGGGGTGCTCTGGTTTTGGGGCACCCTGGCTGCCCCCCGAAACCCTCTGTGCTGCCCTAGAGCCACACCCCCGTCCCCAGGAGCTGGTGGCTTGTGCGGTGGCACCGTGGTGGCCCAACCCCGTGCCCAGCACCTTGCGGAGGGTTTATTGCTGGCATGAACACAGTGATCTGTCGGGGCAGGGCAGCCCAGCTCAGGGGGGCGCTGCGGGGGGCGTTTTGGGAACCTGGGATGTGGGGTAGGAGCTCATGGCAGCGTCCCTCCTGCTGCCGGCCCCTCTCCCGGCTGCTCCCGGCACTGCGGTGTCCCCAGACAGGGTATCCCACGGGAACGCCACCGCCCCACCCTGCAGTGGCCAAAGGCACTCGGTGCCCCCGCCGAGGGGGAGCACACCTAGCACCAAGCCCAGCAGCACTCCAAAAGCTGCCCCCCACCCGCTGGCACCCCCGGGGCCTTCAGCAGGCTCATCCCCGGGGCGGGGGGACGGTCACGCCGAGCCACGGGCTGGGTTAAGGCTGGAAAAGCAGCGAGAGGCGAAAGAAGCCCGAGCGCTCTCGCTCAGCCAGAGCCGGCTCTAAGAGTTCCCAGAATCTGTGCAAAAACAAAACTAAAGGGTTAAAGACCCCCCCGGAGACCCCCCCACCCCCCAGCAGCTCTAATAAATACACGTGCACTTTGCAGAGCCCCCGGCCCCGGGGCCTCGCCGGGTGGCTCCCGGGGCTCCGGAGGCGGCTCCTGGGGGATGAGGGGGGCGTGTGCTTCGGGGAGGCTTCTGCACCGGATCCGTGGGGATCTTCCCAAAAGGCTGCATCGAACGGGGTCCCAGGGGTGTCCCCTGCGAGGCCCCAGGTGTCCCCCGGGGGCTGCTGCTGCCACTGGGGCTACTCTGCAGCTGGAGGGGGAAGAGAGGGTCAGGGGGTGCAGTGCCTCCCAATATCCCACTGTCCCATCCCTCTGGGAGCAGCAGCACCCAAGCCCCCTGCCCAGGGGTGATGTGGATCCCACAAGTCGGAGTCTCCAGGGATTTGCCTGTGTGTGCCAACTACCCCTGGGTTTGTGCCAGCTGGAGTGAAAGCCACGCCTGCCCACTGCCAGGACAGCAGGCAGGGCTTCTCCATCCTGCCCTGCTCCTTCCCGGAGCAGTTTCCCAGCTGGAGCAGGACTGGCAGCACTCACCATCCTCCTCCCAGCCCTCGGCCACTCCGGCCAGCTCGTAGTGCTTCTTGCGCAGCTCCCCCAGCTTCTGCCGCTCCTTCTGCAGCTGGTTCTCCAGCTCCAGCACCCGCACCTGGGGGACACCACCCAGGACATGCCCACCCAGCACCCTGGCACGGGGTGGGGCTGAGCAACCCCCTTTCACACCCGTTATCCCCCCGGTATTGAGCCCAAAGACCACCGAGGTACATCCCGCAGGTGCTCTGGTGACAAGCAGACGTGGGGAGGGGTGGGGTTCAGGTGGCTGCTGCCTGTGCAGGCAGGTGAAGGCAGAATGACCCATGTGGGCACCCTGGGAAGAGGAATTTCCTGGGGCTGCCCCGTGCCAGGCAGAGGTGGGTGCTGTGGGGAGGCCATGGGCTGCTGGGAAGGGACTGAGAACCAACTGCATGTGGCTCCTGGGCAAACCCATCTGTGGCCTTCACACCTTGGGTTTCTCCCATGCTGGTGCTGCCTGGGGGCAGCTGGGCAGGGTGACCCCCCCAGCTTGGTGCTCCTCCATCTCTCCCCCAGCCTGGGTAGCCCAAGCGAGACATCAGTGGGTGCGTTTCCCAAAATATGGGAACATCCTACCTGCGAGTCCATCTCCTGACGCTTGATCTGGGTGAGTGTCATGCTGGAGAAGTCCATGCTGTCTGTGGAGAAAGACAACACCAGCACCCCTCAAGCTCTACTCCCTGCTTGGACCCCCCAGCAGCTCCCAGGATGCTGGCAGGGTCTGGCACCATGGCAGGGATCCACATGGCAGGGAGTGAGGGGCAGCTGTAGACAGAGACCACCAGGGCACAGCCAGATGAGGGTGCTGAGGACCAAGAGCAGAGGTTTTGGGGCAGGTCTGTGCTCCAAGCATTAGGCTTGGAGGAAATGACCTCAAGTTGTGCCAGGAGAGGTTTAGGTTGGGTATTAGGGCAAATTTCTTCATTGAAAGTGTTGTCAGCCCTGGCACAGGCTGCCCAGGGAAATGGTGGAGTCACCATCCCTGGAAGGATTTAAAAGCTGTGTAGATGTGGCACTTGGGGACATGGGTTCATGATGGGCTCGATGGTTCTAGAGGGCTTTTCCAACCCAAGTGATTCCATGACTTTACAATCCCTGCAGCCCCACACTCACCTTTCTCCTCCACCTGTGACCTCCCAGCTTTGGTGGAGGCCACCACACCGGCTGTGGCCTGGTTGACCCCCCGGGAGGCTTGTTGGAGCTTGCAAAGGTTGGCGCTGTCCTTGTCTGCCTTAACCTGCCGGGACAGCCAGGAGGGATCACTTCCACCCCACCAGCCCTACGATTTGGGGTGACCACAAGGTGCCCCAGGGTCACCCCAAACCTCCTACCTTGGAGGCTGCCACCAGCTGAGCGGTGCTGGCCGCGATCTCCCGGGAACAGACCATCAGCTCCTCGAATGTCCCCTTGCCTTGCACCACCAGGTCGGCAGCGTCACTGTGGGAGGGCAGAGAGGGGCTGGAGCATCGTCCTGCCACCCCTGTGTCCCCTCCCTGTGGGCACAGCAGGACTCTGCCATCCTCTCCACGCTCTGGTGACAGTGGCACTTACACCATGACGGTGGCACCCCAGCCCACGGCCTTGGAGGCGGAGATGAGACCCTCGGTCCAGCGGGAATTCTTGGCGTAGAACTCCTTGGGGGATGCTGCTCCCTGCCATGGGGAAAGGCATGGCTGGGGACAGGGGACCCCCACTCTTGGTGGAAAGCAGGAGGTTGGGGTGTCATTTCAGATACGTGTGGGAGCTGGGGAGACACCCAGCACGGGGGGTTGCATGGGAAGGGAGATCAAGGATCTCTGTGACACCCTGGGAATCAGAGCCAGGGTGAGACCCTGGGGCTGGGGCAGCAGCTCCTGGCAGCTGGTGGGGACGCTCCAATGGGCCAAGGGTTGGAACAGCATGTTCGACCAAGTGTGTGGTGGCCCCTGGCTGGCCAAGCACCTCTGATCTGCACCCCTGTACCAGCTCACCCGTCCACTCTCCACGATCTCTCTCTGGAGGTCCTTGGAGGCCAGGACCAGGACGTGGATGGCCTGCATGAGGCCCGTGCAGGAGCCCAGGATCCTGTGAGACAAACCCCTCTGAGCCCTCTGTGGGGTGCCTGTGGCACCAGTCCCATCCTGCCTGCCCGGCTCTCTCCAGTTCCCTGACCAACACTCACCTCTCGTTCACTTCCAGTTTGACCCCAGTGTCACCGGCCCGTGCCTTGCTCAGCATCTCCTGGTAGGGGGGGAGAGGCTGTGCTGAGCCCTGTGCCCGGTGGCAGGCCTGCACAGTGCCCGTGGTTTCCCCATGCACAGGGTGCCCTCACCTCGATGCGGGCAGACGCCGTCTCGATGGCCGCGGCCGTCGCCGCCATCTCCTTGTCCACCAGGTCACCCAGCTCCTCCTGCTTGACGTCCAGCCCTCTGGGACGCAGCTCCTGGGGACGGGATGGGATGAAAGGGAACGTCCAGGGGTGGCACCAGCCCCTCTGGCGGTGCCCACCACAGCCTGACCCCATCCCACCAGCCCTCTGGGGGAACCCACCTCTGCAATGGTGCTGATCCGGCCCAGGCAGGCTGTCACTGGGCTGCAGTCAGCACCTCCCACTGTCCCTGGGTCTTGCAGGGCACTGAGGTAGCTCAGGGCCTCGCTGCCACACTGCCTGCACAGCTCCAGCAGACCTGTGTTGGCAGCACAGGGGGTGAGGGGGCCACATGGAGGGATGGAGGTGTCTGGTCCCTGCCTGCCCTGGCATCCTGCCCATCCTGATCCTACTTGTCCCAGCATCCTGCCCAGCTGGTCTCCTGGCACCTTCTCACCCCAGCATCCTTCCCACCCAGTCCCCTGCATTCCATGACCTCGGCCCACCTCGGTCCTGGCCCACCCCAACCCCTGTCTGTTCCAATCCCTGCCCGTTCCAGCATCCTGTTTATCTTGGCCCTGTCTGCCCCTGTCCACCACAGCCCCTTCCTGTCCCAGAATCCTTCCCTGCCTACCCCAGCATCCTTCCCACTCTGTCCCCTGCCTGCAATGACCCTTGTCCACCCCAGCCCCTGCCCACCTTGGCTCCTACCTGCCCCAGAATTCTACTCAGCCCCTGCCCATCCCAGCATTCTGCCTACCAAATCCTCTGCCCGCCCTGATCTCCTCCCCACCTTGGCCCTTGGCCCACCCCTGCCTCCTCCCCACCCTGGCATCTGCCCACGCCATGCCCTGCCCGTGGGGCAGCACTCACGGTCAGCGGGCTCCACGGGGGCCACGTGGGAGGTCGCGCTGCCCTGCAGGAGGGTGTCGCTGACCAGGTGGGCGAAGAGGGCCAGGCAGGGCAGCAGGGAGCCCAGGGCTGCGGCGGGACAGGGGGCACACACCTCAGCCCCCTCCGCGCTGCCCACCCAGCCCTGCATGCCAGGGCTGCCCCTGTGCCCTCCCCCTGCCCAGGGCTGCCCCTGTGCCCTCCCCCTGCCCAGGGCTGCCCCTGTGCCCTCGCCCCCAGGGCTGCCCCTGTGCCCTCGCCCCCAGGGCTGCCCGTTCTCACCTGTGCCATCCGACAGGTACTTGCCGTGTGCGTCCCGCAGCCGCTCCACGCACTCGGAGGCTGCCAGCGTGCGGGACAGGAGGCAATCTGCAGGCAGAGGGCAGGCAGGGCTCAGCCAGGCCGGCAGGGAGCGGGCAGGCCGGGATAACGCCCGGTTTGGGAGCCTCACCTGCCGAGCCGGTGCAGCCGATGTGGGCGGGATCCTCCATGCGAGCCAGGGCATCCTGCACCATCCGCTCGGCCTCGCGGGCGGTGCCCCGCAGCAGGGATCGCTGCTCCTCGGCCAGGCGCCGCTGCAGCGCCTGCTCTGCGCCCTCCTGCCAACCCCACAGGGGTGTCGGGGGCCCTGCTGTGCCACCGGCATCCCCCTCACCCAGCCCTGCCGAACCCCCGTGGCCTGGAGGGATGGGGCTGCCCCGGGGTACCTTGTCTCTCAGCTGGGTCTGCAGCGACTCCAGCTCGGTCCTGCTGCTCTCCTGCTCCCGGCTGAGCGTGTCCCGCAGCTGCTGCAGCTCTGCCCGCAGCGCTGCCATGTCCTGCCCGTGCCGCTCCGCTGCCTGGCTCAGCCGGTCCCGCTCCTGCTCCAGGCTGCTGATCCGGGAGTTCTGCTCCGCTCCCGCCTGGGGGGGAATGAAATGGTGGTCGGGGCTGTGCCGAGGGTGAACCCTCCAGTCTGGGGTCTGGTTCCTAGTCCAGGCTCGGGCCACCCCCACTGTCCCTGCAGGCGTAGCCCTGCATCACCACCTGGCAGTGATGATCTCACCTGGTGACAACCGAGGCTCCCAGGGAGCCCTTTCACTTTTATTCAGTGAAAATTCACTTTTATCATGACCGTCACCATCCTGATGCAGGAATGGATGCGGACTGTGGCTGTGGCCTTGGAGCTCTGCCCCATCCCTGTCCTGCTGCAGTGTCTGCCCACCCTGGGAATGGATAACTGCATTTTCCTGCCAGCTTCTCCCTCCTCCACCAAGCCCAGACATCCCTGCTATGCTCCACATCTCCACAGGCATGGGATACCCTCTGGCATGTCTTGCAGTGTGTGGCACACTGCTGCCTGAGTTTACAATGGGCAGAGTTCTTCCAGGGCTTTTATTCCATGATCCCTGCTGCTGGAGCCCATTGCTCCACATGCTCCTGCACCCAGGAGCATGAAACCCCGTGGTGTGACCATCCAACCCACCCAGATGTGGAGAGGAAGAGGACAGGGTTCTCAGGCCAGTGGTGGGTATCATGTCTCAGAAGGGTAAGGCCTGGCTGCCCACCCCAGGGCTGTGTGAGGGGTTGCAGGCCCCCCCCCACGCTCTCACCTGCGTGCTGGACTCCAGTGTGCCCTGGAGCACCTGCAGCTCCTGCCTGCTGGCTGCCAGCTCCCGCTTCAGCGTCTCCAGCACCTCTGCCTGCTCCTGAGACTGCGGCAAGGGGAGAGGTTGGCAGCACTGGTGCCCCATGGGGGGGCCCCTGCTCATCCCTGCTGTGCCCCCCCATCCATACTCACCTTCCTCTGTGCCTGCTCGCTCACCCTCTGGAAGGAGTCCTCCAGCTCCTTCTTCTCCCGCTCCACATCCCCCTGGGCCTGCCTGGCCACCGTCACCTGCTTGGTCACCTCCGCGTTCTGCGATGGCAGAGTGAGCTCAGCATCCCCCTGTGCCCGGGGGGGTACAGCTGGCAGAGGGCATGCCAGGGGAGTTTTTGGGGAGCCCACCTTGCGCAGCAGGTCGGCGTGGTTCTGCACCAGCTCGCTGTACTTCTCCTTCAGTTTGCTGTAGCGCTGCTCGTTGGCCTGCGCCCGTCCTGCCATGCAGGGACACTGAGGTGAGCCCTCAGGCCCTCCCCAGGGGCTCACCCCCACCCCAGGCTGGTCCCAGCTCCCCCTGCTCACTCTCGATCTCCGTCAGGCTCCGCTGAGCCTTCTCGGTGTCCTCCCGCTGCTTCTTGAGCTCCTCCAGCTCCGTGCGCAGGAACTCGCTCTCGTCCTGCGCCTGCTGCTTCAGGTGCTGCTGCTCGGCCAGCTCAGCCTCCAGCTCGCTGGCACGGCCCCTCAGCTGCACCGCACCCCGTGCGCTCTGCGGGCACAGCCGGGGGCTGACGGTGCCATTCGGTGCCCGGCGGGCCTGTCCGATACCCACCAGTACTGCCCAATGCCCACCAGTACCATCCAACACCCACCAGTACTGCCCAATGCCCACCAGTACCATCCAACACCCACCAGTACTGCCCAATGCCCACCAGTACCATCCAACACCCACCAGTACATTCTAACACCCACCAGTACCATCCAATGCCCACCAGTACCATTCAACACCCACCAGTACCATCCAACACCCACCAGTAATGCCCAATATCCACCAGTAGCATCCAATGCCCACCAGTACTGCCCAGTGCCCACCAGTACCATCCAATACCCACCAGTACATTCTAACACCTACCAGTACCATCCAATGCCCACCAGTACCATCCAACACCCACCAGTACTATCCTACACTCACCTGTACCATCCAACACCCACCAGTATTATCCAGTACCCACCAGTATCATCTGATGCCCACCAGTACTGCCCAATGCCCACTAGTACCATCCAATGCCTACCAGTACTGCCCAATGCCCACTAGTACCATCCAATGCCTACCAGTACCATCCAGCAGCCCCCGCCATGGGTACCACCCCACAGACCCCCAAATGCATCCAGCTGAAGCACCGAGGGTGCTGAGCCCATCCCCTCTGCAGGAATGCAGCCCCCTGGCACACCTGGAGACCCCCAGGGTGGGCAGGGATGCAGAAGCCATTGGGGACAGGGCAGGGCAGAGATGGGGACACCACCTTGCCCATCCAGGGGTAGAGCCACCACCCCACATTCCCAGTGTGAGCCCCCGGGTCTCATCCTGCCCACCTGGTTGTCACCCACCTCGGCCTTGAAGTTCTCCAGCTCCTCCTTCAGGGCTGCGATCTCCCCGTAGAGCTGCTCGATTAACCGGTCCCTGGGAAGGAGAGACACAGGGTACCTCCTCAGTGCCATGGGGACACGTCCTGGGAGGGGAGGTGTCCCCCGTGCCACCGCGGCTGTGGTGCCATTGCAGGAAGGGAGGTCCTGGTACGATCCCGGCCTGCTCACTTGTCATCCTTGTTCATCCCGTTCTGGCTGTTGAAGTTGAAGGGGTCGCAGCTGAAGGCGCTGCCGAAGATGTCGTCAAACTTGTTGTCAAACAGGCTCTGCGGGAAGAGCAGGACGGACCTGGAGTGACCCCCCCACCACCTGGGAACCCTCACCCCCTCCATGTCCCCAGTGTCACTGCCAAACCAGCCCACGAGCTGCCTGGACACTGGGGCTGGATCCCCCCACTGCTCCCAGGGCACTGAGTGTGTTGAACTGCCATGGGGCATCTCTGGTCCATCCCCACTTAACTCCCAGGGGGAGAAGATCCCCAAAGCCATGTCACCACACGCTCCTTCCCCTCCTCACTCAGTGAGGGAACAACCTTTGGTGGAGAGGAGGGTGAAGACCTAAAGTGGAAGATGCTCAAAGCCAAACCTCTCCTCGCCCATCACTGGAGGGCACCACACCACTGAGCAGCACTGGGAGACAAATCCAGGCTGGCTCAGCCCTGGCAGCACCCAGCTGGGACATCCAGCTCCCAGCTGGGGCATCCAGCACCCACTCACCCCCCAGCAGTGACACTCCCCAGTTCCCAAAGCCATCCCTGCTGTCTCAGCCCCCACCACGGTGTGGATTTGGAGAAGTAACTCCGGGCTCGGAGCTGGAGGGCCCCTTCCACCCTCACCTGCGAGGCCGTGTCCATCTCCACCAGGTCTGTGATGGGCTCGCTGTCAGGGGAGGACGCCTCAGCAGGGATCACCACCACAGGGCTGATGTGCTCCGACAGCGCCGAGGCTCGCAGGAAGTTGGGGGGGTTCTGGGGAGGGATGGCAGCAGGGTGAGGGGAAGGG